TCGTCGACACACGTAGGAACGTGCAGGCTCCCTTGGGAACATGATGGCGTATTATCTCGTTCCTCGCGGGCCTCCTCAAGCCCCCGGGGCTCTCCGCGGCCCTTCCGCGGCCCTCTTTCCGAAGGCCCCGAGGGAACCCGTGCCCAAGGCGCCACCGACGGCGGGCCCCAATGAGCGCCCGGCGCCGATCAGACGGGCGGCACTTGATCAAGGCCTCGCCCTCGGGCCCTTCGGCGGGTCCGCGCGGGGGCCCCGCGGGGCCCCAAGAGCGGCCGAAATGCGGGGCATGTGGGGCGCCGCTTGCCCCGGCAGACGACGCCCGTTCAACTTCCCCCCGTCGTCGCCTCCATCTTTGGCTACATTTTTCCCCGCAGTCACGAATGGCGACTCTGGCAAGCGAAAACCCGTCAGGTCCTGCTGCGCGCCGCCGTCTCGCTTGCCTCCCGCTTCTCTCGACCACCACCGTGCCGCTGGGCACGGAGTGGGCGCGCCCTCAAATCCATCGCCCACCTCCTGGGGCCTCGGTCTTCGGCCCCGGAGGGTCGCCGGGGAGACGCCGGAGGCCCCGGGCCCCAAATGGGAAATGTGAGCAGGGCTTCCCGCGCGACCCCGGCCCCCCCCACATCTTGTCGAGCAACGTTTCGGGGCCCGCGGAGGCCCCGAGACGGGCCGGGAGGGCTCCGGGAAGCCTCCGCGACGGTCCCAGAACGCACCGAGGTCGCCGAACGATCGCTTCAAGACGCTCAAGACGGCCCCCGCGACTGCTCAAGACGCTTCCAAGACGGCCCCAGAGGCCTCGCAGAGGCCCCCCAAGAGGGCCCCGAAAGGCCGAAATCATTATCTCCTTTGGTTTTTCCCCACATCCTGAGTGGGGTTCTTGTTTTCCCAGGACACCCTCTCCTTCCCACCTTCCCACCTTCCCACCTCCCGCTCCCTCTTCCTATTCCTACCATACCATACTATACCATACCATGCAATACCGCTCCCTCTTCCTACTCCTACCATACCATACAATACCATACCATACAATACCATACCATACTATAGCAGACCACCGTACCTACTATACCACACCTAGGAAACCATACATACACCATCACCGCATACCTACCACACCATACAATACCATCCAATACCTACCTACCACGCTCGCTCCCTCTTCCTATTCCTACCATACCATACTATACCATACCATACAATACCGCTCCCTCTACCCCTCCAGGGAGGCCCCGCCAGAGCGAGGACAGTATTCGCAAACCATATTATTTATCAGGTTTCGTGCCCCTCCCAGCGCTCCAGGGAGGCCCCGCCAGAGCGAGGACAGTATTCGCAAACCATATTATTTATCAGGTTTCGTGCCCCTCCCACCGCTCCAGGGAGGCCCCGCCAGAGCGAGGACAGTATTCGCAAACCATATTATTTATCAGGTTTCGTGCCCCTCCCAGCGCTCCAGGGAGGCCCCGCCAGAGCGAGGACAGTATTCGCAAACCATATTATTTATCAGGTTTCGTGCCCCTCCCACCCCTCCAGGGAGGCCCCGCCAGAGCGAGGACAGTATTCGCAAACCATATTATTTATCAGGTTTCGTGCCCCTCCCACCGCTCCAGGGAGGCCCCGCCAGAGCGAGGACAGTATTCGCAAACCATATTATTTATCAGGTTTCGTGCCCCTCCCACCGCTCCAGGGAGGCCCCGCCAGAGCGAGGACAGTATTCGCAAACCATATTATTTATCAGGTTTCGTGCCCCTCCCACCGCTCCAGGGAGGCCCCGCCAGAGCGAGGACAGTATTCGCAAACCATATTATTTATCAGGTTTCGTGCCCCTTCCAGGGTGCCCCTCCATATTATTTATCAGGCTCGAGGCCGCCTCCAGGGAGGCCCCGCCAGAGCGAGGACAGTATTCGCAAACCATATTATTTATCAGGTTTCGTGCCCCTCCCAGCGCTCCAGGGAGGCCCCGCCAGAGCGAGGACAGTATTCGCAAACCATATTATTTATCAGGTTTCGTGCCCCTCCCCGCTCCAGGGAGGCCCCGCCTGAGCGAGGACAGTATTCGCAAACCATATTATTTATCAGGTTTCGTGCCCCTCCCACCCCTCCAGGGAGGCCCCGCCTGAGCGAGGACAGTATTCGCAAACCATATTATTTATCAGGTTTCGTGCCCCTCCCCCCGCACCTCCGCTTCTTCCTTTTCCTCCTGACTAAGCCCGCGCCCTATTAAAACGCCCATGTGGGGAACTCCGTTAGCATAATTTGTAAGTGTCCGGCGTTCTCGCCGCCTCGGCCCCCTGGCGCCCCCGGCCGAGACCGCCCAGAGAAAACCCTAAATGCCTCCCCCAAGCAAGCCCCAGACCGGCCCGCGGCCCAACGGGGCCCCCAAGGCCCCCAGGGCCCCCAGGCGGCCCAAGAAGCGCCCAGATCGGCCCGAGCGGGCCCCAAGACGGCCCAATGCGGGCCCGAGAGAGGGAGCGCGAACCGAAAATCCGAGCCCCCCCCCAGGAAGCTTCAAGAAGCGCCCAGCAAGGGCCAGGGGGCGCCCGGAAAAATCCCAAGACGCCAGCAGAAGCCTCCAAGAGGCCCCCAAGAGGCCCCCAGAGGCATCAAAATGCGCGCCAAGAGGAACCAACACGGCCCCCAAGAGGTCTCCGAATTGCCTCAAAGAAGCCCCCGCGAGGCCTCCCACGAGACCCCGGCGAACGCCCGCTGGGCTTCGCGCCCGCAACCCAAGCGCGGTGGCGGAGGGCCACATGAAATCAGCGCGCATGCACGGGTGGGTGGCCGGCGGCCTTGCTCGCCGGTGCGCTGCCGCGCTGGATTCGCTGCCCAGCTCGGCAGGGTCGTTATGGCAATATTATTCCTCTGATGCGGTTGCGCGCTAGGTTCACCGGCCCCCCCCCGCCCGCTCGGCGCCAATCTAATGCGCCGCGGCGACCTCCATCGCGGCCGCACTTCCGCGCGGGAATGGCACGCGTGATTCATCGCTGAGTGCCCCACTTTCCGAATGCTATCGACCTCGGAACACTTGGAACTTGCGCGCGTCGTGCCCGACGGCTGCGTGCCGGATTGGAAGCAACGACCGAAGCGGAATGTGTCATGCCGATGGGTGACCCGAGTAGGCATGGCTGGCCCTGCTCGACACTGCACGCGCAACGTCAGAAATACCGGACTCACTTCTCCGCGGCGCAACACGTTGAACAGAATGCCAGGCAAACGCTGCGCAGCAGCATCAGACCGACACATGGCGCCATCCTTAAACTTGGCAGTGCGATTGATTGTTAGGCTGGTGCTGACCGACATATTATTTGTGGTAGTTTCCCAGGTAGGCTGCTGTTGCTGGTTCGAAACGCCCCCTCCCTTCCCCAATCCTCCGACGCCCATTGCATTGCTGTTTTTCTGTGTCCGCAGTCAGTCGCTTGTTCCCCGAGCCCAGTCATCGCCTCTAAGATGTAGTGCCTCATGCGTTTCGCTCATTCGGGGGCCAGGTGATTTGCAGCAATCTGGTTGGCAATCGTCGAACCACTCCCTGTCGCGTGTAGGTCTGATCTGCAGAGCCGTTGCCTTGACAAATAAATGTAGTTAGTATGATTTACCGGACTTGTCGACCTTCTCGACCAACGCACTCCACCGCCCAAGCTGGGCGGATCTGCCACTGATCTTCTGCAGGCTGTCAGGATTCAGGATTCATGGTCGAGCTCATCCTCGCCGGTAATGTTGCTACTGTCATTGCAGAACACCCCTTAAAGATGTGCATGCAGCTTGCTTGGCGACTCAACGCTCCACAGCTTCTCGATTAGGATGTACTATAAGTCCTCATCTGGCTTGTGAGGTCCATTTTCGTCCACAACGCATTCGTCTCCACGGTTGTCTTCTTCGCTCATCTGTTCTGCGGATGCTTTGTTGTGATATGCTGCTGTCGCTCTCCCGTTTGGCACTCGTGCGTTATCGCTTTCCTCGCTCTGGTCTGGCAGAGATCCGTCAACCGTCTCTCATATTGAATTCAAGATGTTGGGCACGTTGCGGTTCCCATTGTTGGCCGGCGCCTTTGGGTTTAGTAATCTTTCCTTCCGTTCACGAAATTTCGCCCGATCTCCGTTGGAGCTTTTCAGCGAATGGATTGCTTTTGGTTCGATCACGGGCTTTTGGCGGGGGTTTTGCCTTTGTTAAAACGACCTTTTCTTCACATAGGATCACATTGGTGTTCGCGTTCTCTCGTCTATTTTCTCCAATTCGGCCGCTCACATCTACACTTGCATGGTATACGCTTCGTATTTGGTCGCGCGATGGATGATGCTCAATAGTACTGCGTTCGGTTTCCGAACGGTCTCATTCGTGACATCGCGCGTTCGCTTGGCAAGTCGTGGTTGCCAATGCGTTCTTGTTGTGTTGTTCGAAGTATTTCGTTTTCGCGCCATGGTTCGCCTGCAGGCCTGCTTTGACGAACTCCTCGTCACTTTGGTAGTACACGGTACGGCAAAAAAAATCGAAATTCGCACGAATGGATTCGATTCAATATTGTCGTGATGTAGGTGTTGTTGTCCTTATTCTCGTCATAACCTCGCTCCGCTACCGTGCAGGCTGGACAGGACGATTTTGACGAATATAGCACACTGTTTCACAGTGGTTGGTCAACACTAAAACTGCACACGTATACACGTACACGCACAATTCTTGACGGCCGCTATAATTTTTGAGCGAAGAGGTGGCTGCTGCACAGTAGCATGGGCGCCCATATTGAAACAACATGGCGACTCCTCCTCCTCTTCTTCCTCTTCCGCGCCCCCTCCTGATCACATTCCTCGTACTCACAGTATTCTCCCTCGTCTCCTCTTCCTGTTTGTTCCTCTTCAGGGCAAACCGATTCTCAAAACCCTCTACCCTCATTGCAGAATCCCCATCCAAGAGAATCTAGACGAAGGCCGGGAACCAAGGAGGCGAGCTCGGTCTCCGGAGGCCCGAGGAGGCAGAGATGGACAAGCGGCGGCAACGGCGGGAGCGCGCGCCTTCGCGAGGGTATCCATGTTGATGTCGTGTTCTTCCCCGCGCAATGTCTGGGCCGCCCCACCCTTTCGTCTCTCGGAGGCTGCCAGGAGCGATCCTGGCATACCATCACCGAGCTACCAGAAAGAACTTTGAATGCGGAACTCATGGGCTTTTTCCCTCGGCGAGCTTCGGCCACGAAGATCGAATCTAAGGAACGGCCCGAAACTAGAGCCCAGTCTGAGCCCAAAGTGGTCCTGCCCTCAGCGTCTTGACTGCAAGGGTGCCCCTGACCTGCTGCTCCATCTCGGGCCGACCGGCACCAACACTGGGGGGCTTGGCTCCATGCCCCCCTGGGCCAGGGGGAGCCCCATCTTATCGCCGACCGTTCGGGCGGGAATAAGCGAAGCGAAGCGAATGCCTGCGTCGTGCGTGCTCCTCTGGGAAGCCCGCCCGTGTCCACTAGAACGTGGCGTGGAGGCCGTAGCCTCGACAAGGAAGAACTTCTGTTCAAGCCAGCGAAACATACTTATGCTGCGAATGTGTTCAATCTGCCCGTTCTGGCAGGGAGTCGAATCCGAGCGGCCCCCCAGAAGGGTTATCAAGTGGCACGCGTGCCATGGCTCTTGCACAGAAAGGAGGGGGGGGAGGAGGTGGAAGGGGGAGGGGCGAGGGGCACGCATACGTTTAGCGCGCGCGGGTCTTAGCAGCGTCTAAGATGGCCCGAACAAGGCCCCAAGATGGCCCAAGAGAGCTGGAAGAGGACCCCAAGACGGCTCCAGGCTGGGCTGACTGGGGGGAGGGTGGTGCTGGTGCCGTGCGCGCGTGTTGAAGTAAAGCAGTCGGGTTGAAGGGAGCGCACCAGCTGGGGGGCGAGGGGAAACTGGGCTGGCTGCTGGGTGGAGGCGGGGCGCGGTGCCGGTGCCGTGCGTGCGTGCCGAAATTAAGTGGTCGGGGCGGGGAAGGGGCGCGTTGGCTGGGGTGGGAGCTGGGCTGGTTGGGAGGGGGGTGGGCGGCGCTGCTGCGTACGTGCGTGCGTGCCGAAATTAAGATGTCGGAGCAGAGGGGGCGCGATGGGGAGAGAGGGAGCTGGGCTAGCTGGCTCGGGGGGGTGGGCGGTGCCGTGCCGTTGCGTGCGTGCGTGCCGCAGTAAAACGGTCGTGGCGGAGGGGACGCGCTGGCTGGGGGGAGAGGGGGAGCTGGGCTGGCTGGGAGGGCGGTGGGCGGTGCCGGCTGGGGGGCGAGAGAGAGCTTGTGCGGCTGCTGGGGGGTGGGGGGGGCGCGGTGCCGGTGCCGTGCGTGTCGAAATAACTGGTCGGGGCGAAGGTGCGCACTGGCTAGGGAGAGAGGGGGAGCTAAGCTGGCTGGGAAAGGGGTGGGCGGTGCCGGGTCTGTGCGTGCGTGCCGAAATAAGACGGTCGGGGCGCAGGGGGCTCTAAACACCCTTTTGCAAAAGCACCCCCCAGTCATGGGTGGTCTGTCGGAGCCCCACGGGAGCTGGGGGCCTCGGGGCGGGTGCTCTGGAGGGCACCTGGGCCTGCCTGGAAACGCTGGGGGCCATCTTGGGCCAGGGTCACCTCGAGTCCGTCCGTCAGCGCCAGCGTGCCGAGGGGCCGAGGCTGTCCCTCCCTCGCTCCTGGCTGCGCTGGTCTTCGCCCTCCTCCTCCTCCTCTTCCGCCTCGCCACGGGCCCAGCCATCCTGCAGCAGCCCTGCGAGGCCGTGTTTCCATGAGCAGCCTGTCTGGATGGGCGCAAACTGCTTCCTGCAACGCCAGGTGAGGGCGCCCCGGCCCTGGAAACACGTGCCCCCCGCCATGAGCTGTGCAACGCTGTGGAGGATCTGCTGCCGCAAGGGTGCCGTTTACACTCTCCTCCGTCGGCTGCACGCAAGGAGTGCCTGTGGGCAAGACGTGGCCCTCTGTGCGCGGCTTGCGCCCCCCCACGCGACCCCTAGAAGTCGCGCACCGACCGTCATCCTAACAAAAAGCCACTCGTACGTGCAGATCCAGGTCTCGCCAGTCGGCTGCCCGATTCGGAAAGCAAGAGGACCAGCGCGCGCTTAGGTTCTAGCGCGGACTTCTCCGATAACGAATGCGAACTCGCACATAAGAGGAGCAGGCGGATGGGTCGGAACATCATGGACATCAAGAGCACGGGTATCCTGGCCTTGCTCGCTCTCCTTCGCCGCTCTCCCCGTGATCCTGCTCCCGCATCATCGCAAACATTATCAACATCACTCTGAATAGCATCACCATCATCAACATCGTTGACGTCGTTGACTTCGTTACGATCACGATAATATTTGACGCGGTCGCTGTCTTCGTCATCGTCATCGTCATCATCATCGTGCATCGCCGTCACCATCGGTGAGCGAATCGTCATCACCGTCGTCATCAACATTATCATCCGAACCCTAACTTCATCAGATTTGTCATCATCACCATCATCACCATCACCGCCACGATCTCTGTCAGCATCGTCATCATCATCATCATGTTCATCATCATCATCATCAACATTAGCATCATCATCGTCGTCGCCATCGCGCACGTTGTCATCGTCAGAATCGTGCCTCATCAAAAACATCATGCACTCCCCCATCATCCAAATCATCATCAACACCACCGTCATCAACATTCCCATCACCATCACAACCACCACCATCACCATGGCCAGCACCATGACCATCACCATGACCATCACCATGACTACGGCCATCATCATCATGATCACCATCATCATCATCATCATCATTAGCATGAGCATGGTCATGGCCATCGCCATCGTCATCATCATCATCATCATCGTCTTCGTCATAATCATCATGAATTTCACGTCTATCACCGCCGCGGTAGGCCGTGCACGTCGTCACCGTTATCGCCAATTTTTTGAGCCCTCTTGTGCTCTCGTGATCCCCGGGGGCGTCTTGTTCCTGTAGGGGTCTTCCCGGGAATCGTCGTGGGCCCGAGGGCTCGAGATGCTAACCCCACCAGCCCTTTAGGGCGTGAGTGGTCTAAGGAGCTCGTTCTGCTAAACCTCCTTATTCCACTTCGGGGAGGGGGTTCCCCTTATCCCCTCTCCCTGGGCCTGGAGGGAGGGTTCCGCGACCCCTTTCCTCCTCTTCCTTTTGCTCTTCCCTCTCCTCTTCCTCATCCTTCACTTGCTGTTCCTCCTCCTCCTCCTCCTCCTCCGCCTCCTCCTCTTCTTCGTTACCGTCCTCGTCCTCCCCCTCGGCCTCCTCTTCCCCCCCTCGCCTCCTCCTCCTCCTCCTCCTCCTTCTTCTCCTCGCCCCTCCACGCAGGCCCCCGACAAGTTTTCCGCAAGCGCATATCGCGGCTGTTGTTCCGCCCCGTATTGGGCGCCTGACGCCGCGCCTCGCATAAGCGCCTGACGCCGCGCCGGGGAGGGGGCGCGCGCCTACGAGGCGCGCGCCGAGGGATTCCGGCGCGCCTGGTATAGGCGCGAGCCGAAGGATTCCGATCTACTGGGCACCTAGTCGGACGCAGCGCCAGTGTCTCTTCTTAAAAAGGAGAGGGGGCTTATTTGTGTCATGTTCGGTTGTTCATATGTCACCATCGGCTTCTGCAGAGGGGGGGCGCGGCTACCACACTCCGAACGAGAGGAAATGTAGACAGACATCCGCCATAGCAGCACTGTGGCCTTGGCGGGCGCCATGCTGGGCGCGGGCGCGGGGAAGCTCGCGCATCACACATTGCGCGCGTCTCCAGCGGGGCGCATAAATCAATTTCACCACCTGGGAGCATCTGGGCAGGGACAGAAGTGGACGGTCTGGACACGAATAGTACAGATTGGGAAGGGCTGATCTCAAAGTGAAGCATCTGAATAAGGCCGTTTGGGGAAAGCTGATCTGAAATCGCGGGATCGACCGCTCAGGACTGACGCCCGCGATCCGATGTAGGCGATCTGAGGGTAAGCGCGGCCTGGCCTGATGGCGTGCCGACGGCGGGGGGAGCAGGGGGAGAGAGCGGGCGCCGCTAGCGATCAGTGGGGACAGGGGTTGTTCAGTAAAGTGCGCGCAGACTGTTCCGGGGAGGCGCGGCCGGAACGTTTTGGCGTTTCGGAGCCCGGCGACCGTGATTCAGACCTCAGAGGGGGGGGCCCCTGGGATGGGCGGGGGGGTCGCGCCAGACGGGGTGCGTCCTGTCCGCGGAACAACCGAGAGTGTCTAGACAACGGGGTCTTCGGGGGACCTAGTAGATGCATTCGGGAATGGGGCGGCATTCATCCAAGCGTTCCGAAAGGTGTGCGAGGCATGTTCCGGGGAGGGCTTCCCGGAACGTTCGGCGCCAGAACGGGTGTGCCCTGTGTGCGGACGGACCGAGATTTCCTAAACACCGAGTCTTCAGGAGTCTTATTAGATGCATTCTGGAATGGGGGTGGCGTCCACCACAGCGCTCGAAAAGCTGGCCGGCGGGGGGCAGCATGCCTTCACATGGCGGGCTGCGGGCCGATGGGGATTGCGCTGGCGCTGCTCCACAGGTTGGTAGCGCTCAGATTCACGTGCCGCGCCAGCCGATGATCCCGGTGCCCCACCACGCGTTCAGGGTCCGGGGCGTGGGGACCACGCTGCCGTCCCGGAGCTTCTTCTGGCAGGACACCTCCACGCGCTGGAAGGTCACGACCCCCGTCGGGAGGGGGCGGAGCGCAAGCGCAGCCCACGCTGTCATGTTGATCCGCCCGCTGCCGTTCGGCTCCTGGAGCGTGATGCCGCGCCGGGATTCGTTCACCTTCATGACGGTGGTGTGGTCCACGATGATTCCGGACAAGTTCAGGATGAGCGTTCCCTGGAAGGATGCCGGGATCGCGTTGAAGGGCGCGGATGCTGCCGCCCAATCTGTGCGAAGAGGGCGCGGCGGGTCAATGGTGGCAACCGCCGCCGCGCAGATGGGGCCTTTCGTGCCGGAATCGTCCCAGGCCCAGCTGTGCAAGAGCTGGGCCTGGGCGATCTGGACATCTTCAAGCCACTCAGTGATGGGCGTCGGCGAGATTGGAGCACGGGTGGCAATCCTCGAAGACGCTGGCATGTGAAGGGTCAGCGCCGGGGCCTGCTC